CCGCAGCTAGCAGAGAACAAAGCAACGCAAGGAAGGGGCTTTCCAATGAGTAATGCTTGGTTAGACATGTGAAAGCATCAGTTAAACGCGGACACTCAGCTGGACAACCACTCACCACTGCCAGTTTCAACCCACCCAGCTCTCCCATGGCACTGGTATTTATGTTCCCTCCATTGATCCGCCAGCACCGGGGACCATGAGCCCGGTTATTCAAACCGGCAGCACCCTGTGAGCTCCATGCTCTGGCTCCTACCACCTCCTGCCAAACCCACCCACTGCCTGTGCTGGGCTTCGCCTCCAGCAGTGGGGGAGCAGAAGAGGAGGGAAAAGAAGGTGAACCCGCAGTGACAGGCAAGACACCCAGCCGCAATGTGTCTGTTTAACTCGTTCCTGCCATCACCGGTGGCCAAGAGTGTTCTGCACATAGCCCAGCCTGAGCTCGCTGCCTGCCTGAAATCCCACCAAACCTCGACCTTCCTGTGGCAAGATGAGGACAAGAGAGCTGGCTCTCACACACAGGGCAGAGCATGTACCTCCTGCGAGGCGCTGCGGCTTCCTGGGATGCTCCGAGGCAGCAACCGATGGAAGCGAAGGCGGATGCGAGAGAGGTGCCTGGGGAGGAGGACTCTTAGGGAAGGAGGGCTCGGGAGAGGACATATGGTGCCTCTCTGACGGGAGCCACTGCTGTAGCATCTGTTGATAGCTCTCCTGCTGCTGCCAATATAGGAAAGCTTTGTATGGCAAAGGGGCCCTAGCAACAAGTGCTTGTGCCCTTCCACCTCCCTCTCTGCAAAGGCTTCTCTCCCACTTGCACTGCATCAGCAGAAAATACACCAGGAGAGAAATAATAGCAGGCAAAGAGAAGGAAGGGTTGCCCTTTCATAACATTGGCAAAACCACATGTTTTCACTTCATAAGCAAACCCTTATCTCCAGCTTTGAGCCAGGCACTTCTTCTGCACTACCACACCCCCTCGGTGCAGCTTGAGGCATGTGCTCAGTGCTTCAATAGGAAGCACTTATCTATTTTCTGATGCTGGGCTCGATTCTGTGAACTGTAGCACTTTAGAGAGTTTAATCCCACAAAGGTCCAGGCAGGCAATCAAAGGTGTCCAGCCACACTCTGATTATCTCAGCTGTCAAACACCATGCCAGGCTCCAGTGCCCTGGGTCTCACCATGTCACCAAGTCAACATCCAACAGAAAGATTATTTACAAAAGCCAGTTTTAATCCCTCTCTTACTCACCAAGTTATTTATCGCCAAGCCTACACTACTTCATAATGTCACTGCAACCTATTCAATAGCTGTCATCCCACAGGTGGATTTGTTACACCAGAAAACCCAGCTAGGATACTGAAGGCTTATCTAGGTTCAGAGAAGATCAATGCAGAATGCAGAGAAGGATGAGGGAGATGACCCCAGGAGAATTGAGAACCTGACAAAAGGAACTGACAATGATATTTATCCTGAGGAATTTTAGGCATCTAATACCTTTTTGAGCAGAGAACCATCAGCTTCTTTACTATGACAGAGATTAACACCTCCAGAACATCATTAACTGCAGCAGTCTTCCACATCTGTCACTCTCAAAGAGCATCTCTTCCTCTCCCTATTGACTGTTGAGATGGCCACCACAGATGATTGTTAGGGCACAGAGAACCACCAACAACACGGAGGCATGAGAAGGACACAACTGCTCTATGGGGAGGGCTAATCCATCAGGACCAACACCAGTGTGAGAAGCAGGAGGTCTAAACTGGCCATGGTTGGAAAAAAGCAGCAGAAACCTAAAATTGTGCAATAGGAAGAAAAACAGGGGAAAAGAGAATCTATTTCCAAGGGGAAGGCTGGGGAGCTCCAGAATGGGTCTTTATGACCAGGTCTCAGGAATCTCTGTTTCTGTCTTCAGCTTCTGTGTTTATAACTCAGTCAAGGCTGATATTGAAAAGGTAAGACATATACAACATAGGCAAACCCATCCAGAGGCCATGTAGATGCTGTGAGGGCTGGAGCAGCTCTGCACTGGAGCCAGGCTGAGAGAGCTGGGCTGGGTCAGCCTGGAGAAGGCTCCTTAAGGAGAGACCTTAAGAAGCGGCCAGGTTGGACGAAGCCTGGAGCAAGCTGCTCTAGTGGAAGATGTCCCTGCCCATGGCAGGGTGTTGGAACTTGATGAGCTTTAAGGTCCTTTCCAACACAAACCAGCCTGGGATTCTATGAGACTAGCAGAACATATTGGAGAAGCCCATCTGCCAGCTACACTGCCAAGCTATAGTGAGAATGAATTTGAATAATAAAAACTGAAATAAGAAGCAGTCTTGGAGAGAACACTGGTATAGTGCTTCCTGAAGCTTCAATTTAAAGCTAGGTTTCTATAGCTATTGCAGTCATCAGTGATAGCCTTATTGTCAAAAAAACTTGTCACCACTGCAATACTACAGACAGACACTAAGGCCTTGTTTTATCACACAGGTAGATCACTAGGAAAGAATTTGTGGCACACTTGATTCACAGGCAAATAAATTGTCATTCTCCCTGGGCCCAACCAGGGGATGCTGGCTTATAACCATGTGAGCAGCCTCACATTTCATCGCCGTGTATGCTGCAGCTGAGATGGGATCCAGATCCACTGGGGGGTTAGATACGGGAACCCACAGGGAGATGCTTTAGATGGGCCGTGGCTGGAGACAGGCACCCAGGGACACAGAGCATGCCACTTCCCTTCCACAGATGGTAGGTAAAACATCCGACCCAACTCCTAAAGGCTCACCAGATGACCCACAACCTGTGGACTGCCATTTCAGGGCTTCGGGGAGAAAAGTGGGAGTTAAAGTAGAGAATTAGCTTTGCCTCCTCAGGAGTACGAGCACGAGATTGCACGTGAACTTGCCTGGCCTGATTTTCAGAGATGCTCCAAGGGCGAGTCAGCAGAAAGCAAAGAGAGGCTGTACCCTGCACCTTTAGGAAAAGAGATGTTTGCATGATCCAGCTCCCATCACATCCCACTTCAGGGAATTCAGATGCTCTCAGGAGCCTGGGTGCATTAATGCTGGCACAGCTTCATGCTTCCCATGTGCCAGTCTCAGAGCTGTTTGCAACAAGTCTAAGATAACAACGCTGGTGCCACGGCATAAAGGCTAGTCCAAGACCCACAGTGAAAGCTGAAAATGCCCTTTTGTTCGCAGTTGTCCCTGCAGGAACAGCAGCATAACCTCATGCCAGCTTTGGAATAGAAATGGGCTTGAAGAGGAAGAGGCGGGAGCACAACCCTGGGCTGCAGGCTCAGGGCAGGAGGGTGGCTCTGCTCTGCTCCGGATCCTGCACTTGCAGAGGAACTAAATCATTAAACCAGCCAGAAATGTCCCTCGGGAAGGAAATCCTCTCAAAGATAAATCAATAACTCAGTGTAATTTTAGAATGCAGCCAGGAGAATTTACATTGCCAGGAAGGCTGAAAGCTCTGCCACGGAGACGGAGACACAGCATCATCACACGGCACATCCTGCAGCGCAGCCCTGCGCAGGAGCTCAGGCTCAAGGGATTTACTGCAAAGCCAGGACCCCTACGGACCCAAAACGGAACGGCAGGAGCAGGGATGAGGTGTGTCAAAACTCCGCTGTGACAAAGCCACTTCTTCCCGGGTGCATCTTGGTTGCTCTCCTCCACAGCAGTGCGGCTGCTCCCCGCAGTAGTGGCAGTGCTAGCAAATGCTGCTGGAGCTTACAGGGCGAGAGCTGTGCCAACATAAAGCACAAGCTAAAAGAAGCACAGGAGTACAGGGCAGTGCTCCAGCCACCACGTTCACCCTTTGGCCAGGGCCACAGGGGTCGCACCAGCCACAGCACCCACGGAATACGGCGAGACAGTGATGCGCTGCGGCATGCTGTGATTAATAAGCCTGCAATTTATGGCACTGTATTAACACAAAGTACACTTGGACCGATGCGTTCAAGGAAACGAATGACACTTTACAGCACAGTTCAACACTGAGCAGTAACTCCAGCACAAAGGGAAAAAAAAAAGGCCCCTAATTATTCAGTAGCTGTTCTCCTCCCAGATTCTCAGGGTCAGCTTGGAGGAGAAGGTGGCCTGAATTACATTTTCCTTTCCAGAACATCAACAGAATTGCTAACTAGGTCCCAGCAGCAAGGTCGGAGCCTGCCCACGGTTGTACATGTCACCCCTCCCAACCACCAGCTCCAGCAGACAGCAGCACTGGGGGCCCAGGGAGATCTTGGGCTGCCTGTGCCTCCAGCAGGCATGTTCAGAACACCCACACCCTGTGCTGCTCCTCCAGAGACACGGCACCAGTGCCTCTGCCTTCTTTTTGCTCTGGTCCACAGGATTTAGAGCTCCAGTATTTAAAGGGTGGCTACAAAGAAGATGGAGACTTTTTGTACAAGAAGTCCCATGGAAAAGACAAGGGGTGATGGGGAGATTCTGACTGGACATGAGGAAAAACTTCATGATTAAAACAATCAGCCATTGGAATAATCTCTCCAGAGAAGTGGTGACTCCCCACTGCTGGAGAGGGTAAACATCTAGTCTATGTCATGCTTTGTTAAGAAAGGTTGGACCATATAATCCTTGAGGTCCCTTCGAACCTGGGATTCTATGATTTCCCAGCATGAACGGATAAACTACAACTAATTCAAGGCCAGGCTGGATGAGGCTTTGAGCAACTTGGTCTAGTAGAAGGTGGCCATAATTATGGAACTGGATGAGCTTTAAGGCCCCTTCACACCCAAATCATTCTATGACTCTAGGATTCCTTAAACACCAAAACTGGCCTCCATGAAGCACAGCAAGTTTTACATCTCTACAAGATGCATTCTAAGTAGATAAACCCAATCCAATTGGCAGCAATTCACTGTATATCCAAATCACCTACATATTGTTGCAACCAAAGCATCTGGCAGAGATGGAGCTGGCTTGAGGGCCGTGCACAAAAGGCTTGGCAGCAGCCTGCCCATGGGCAGGTCAAGCAACAAACATGTCCATACCTGCCTGGGAAGCCGTGGAGCAGGACTGCTCATCATGCTGCTGCACAAGAGCTTGAGGCATGTGCAAACCCTCCCTACACAGAACACTTCTGTTGCTGCTCTTTCCCATTTGTGCTTCCCAACTCAGTGACGACTGGGATGACAGTAATCCATCACGTGGCAATCTGCACGCACCCAAATGTCCTGCAACACAATCAGAAATCGATAGCAAGATGCGGCAACCCTCAACCGCACAGTAAAACATAAAGGACACTTGTAATATTGATTTTAAAACTGCCTCAGAGAAGACAGCTACGAAGGAGCCTGAGAAAGCAAAGTAAAATGTCTGAATTGAAGCCTCTTTTTCTTTTTTTCCTCAAAAAGACATTAATAATGGATTTTCAATGCAAGAAGAAAAACTGAAACCCACACCAGATTCTCCTGGTAATAACAGCTTTCTGCGAAGCCCAACTATTAATGTAACAGGGACATCCATCAATCAAGCATGCAGAAAGTACTTTGTGAGCTAAAAAAGGAGCAAGCAAACATCTGCTTTTGGCAACTTAAATTCTGCCCTTAAGCACAAGGAACACAACAAATTATCAGAAGGTTGGGCCTGAACTCATTCTCTTCCATCCTGGAGAGCTAAATAGTGAGGCCAGGGGTAAAGGTACACAAACCCACTGCTGCTGTGATCTGTGCTTGACAAGAAAATGGGACAAACAGGCACAATTTCATCTGTAGACTGAGGAGCTCTTCAAAAACACCAGTGCAGTTGTCAGCACCAAGCAGCAAGCTCCTGACAGCAAATGAGTGGCAACACCAGCAGTAAGGCGACAGCAAACTCTTCTGTGAGCCCGTGGCTTTAGCAACCACCTTTCTGCAGTTAAGTACTTGTCCCCTTTGCCACCCACGTCCAGTCACCCTCAGCCTGTTCAAGAGCGTCCACACCCCGGAGCAGTGCCAGGGTGGGATAACCACATGGGAACTCACTCCGAGGAGACAGCTGCATCCCTCCTCACTATGGCTCTCCTCTTCCTGCTGATTAAGGCAGGTCACCAGTGCCTGCATTTCTCAATGCTCTCATCAAGCAATACTTCACATTTTGGGTCCATCTGCACAACCGAGCACTGACTGGGGTGTGAGCAGCAACCCTGAGAAAAGCTGCAGTTACACCAAAAATCCCAGCTGCCAAAGAAGGTAAATGGGGTGCCCCAGTGCCTCCAATATTCCCTCTTTTTTATGACACAGTAGGTCAAATCAAGCGCTGGAGATAACGAACAGAATTTACTGATCAACCAGAAGAAGCTGCAGGCAGCACTGCAGCTAAGCCTTAATAAATTCTGAAGAGTGACACCATAAAATGACATTATGGAAGTCTATATTTATTGTCTCCCCATGTTTTCTGTATCCAAGGTGCCGCATTACACTTAATAACAGTTTTTCTCCCCAGCTGCCAGTGTTGCAAATCCTACCTGACAAGCTAACAGTTGGGGTTAACCCCCCCAAACACACACATCTCCACTCAATGTAAGGCTTTGGTGGTGTGAACAGGGCTAAATGACTACACCAGCACTGCCCTGGTGAATACACACTGCCTCCTCATCTCTTGGGTGTGCTGGCTCCACAGGGCTCACGGCCATGCAGCAGGAAGGTATTTGAGTTCCTGCTCTGCCAATGGAAGCGCTGCAGCCATGGAGCAGCCGTTGCAGGAGAAGCATGCTGAGAACAGCAGAGAAGCCCTGCCGACAAGCACTTGACTCATACCATGGCAAGCTCTGTGCAAAGCATCAGGAGGTCCTCATGCAAAACCATGGAGAACCAGAGTCCTGATCCAGCTCTGGGGCAACAGCACAAGAGGGATGTGGAGGTCTTGGAGTGAGTCCAGAGGAGGCCATGGAGATGCTGTGAGGGCTGGAGCAGCTCTGCTCTGGAGCCAGGCTGAGAGAGCTGGGCTGGGGCAGCCTGGACAAGAGAAGGCTCCTGAAGGGGAGACCTTAGAGCAGCTCCAGTGCCTAAAGGGGCTACAGGAAACCTGGAGAGGGGCTTTGGACAAGGGCCTGTAGGGACAGGCCAAGGGGAATGGCTTTAACCTGCCCGAGGGGAGACTGAGATGAGCTCTTAGGCAGAAGCTCTTCCCTGTGAGGGTGCTGAGGCGCTGGCACAGGGTGCCCAGAGAAGCTGTGGCTGCCCCATCCCTGGCAGTGTTCAAGGCCAGGCTGGACAGGGCAAATTATATCAAAATGCAAATGCATCTTAAAGCACTGTCTCAGTGATAACTTAAAGGCACTTTTAGAAGCGCCACCAGACATAAAGGGAAAGGTTTCACTTGGGCTGAATGACAAATCCTAAAAATAAAACCTGATCTGGGGTTAGAATGTAAATTGTTTAGATTTATTTATTCACACCCTGCAGTGTTGGGAGACACACACGGCCTCATGTTTCCCCTTTTACTTTGCAGGATCACAGGCACATTCCTGTTGTTGGCATTGCAGCTTTCAAGGTCTTTGCAGCCCTGGGAGATCTCCAGCAGCAGAAGAGAAGCAATACCAAGTGGCAGACTGCATACATTAATTCAGTATTCACATAACATCCTGTTGCAAGTGAATGACCCCAGCAAAACTTCCTGCAGTCTTAAGGAGCAGGCACAAAATCAGGAGAGAGGAAAAAGCATCTCTGGGCTGAAGAAAGAGCTTTTGAATCAGAAATGTTCTTAATGAGAGTTTCCACCACCAGCAGCACACTTACTCCTTCCAAAATGTAAACACAGCATAAAAAATTAAACATGAATGTACTGTTGTAAGAGTTCTTGCAATAAATGGGGATTAGTTATACAAGACATCAAGACAGACCCAAGGAGAATACATTTCTTTCCCAAGCTTATGCTGGCAAAGCAGAGCGGGAGAAATAGAGATGTACGTTACATTTTGACTCAGAAGCTTTCTTGACATGCTAAAGGAAGCTGTTTCAGTAACACAGAGACAGGAAAGGTTAGACCAAGATGAGCTCTTAGGCAGAAGCTCTTCCCTGTGAGGGTGCTGAGGCGCTGGCACAGGGTGCCCAGAGAAGCTGTGGCTGCCCCATCCCTGGCAGTGTTCAAGGCCAGGTTGGACACAGGGGCTTGCAGCAAGCTGCTCTAGTGGAAGGTGTCCCTGCCCGTGGCAGGGGTTGGAGCTGGGTGAGCTTTAAAGTCCCTTCCAACCCAAACCAGTCTGGGATCCTATGATACCCTGCAGCTTTGAGCTCACAGTGTGCAGCTCACCTGATCTCCAGCATCTCCAATGATGCCTTGGTGGGAGTTCAACGCTTCCCTGGCCACAGAAGCAACCTCTGGTGTTTCATGGGGATGGAGGTCCAAGCCATGGCTAAACAAACATGCATTGCAATGCTTGGATGCTCATCCCACAGAACAAGGTCGTGCATTTGAAGTGCGAGGGTGTTGCTCTGATTGGGTCAAACCTTCAGAACCGTTTCAGTGCCTCTGGAACCCAAGTCACAATATCTGAAAAGCACTTTGCCATAATACCCAGAAAACAACCTAAGCTCACGGAATGGCTTGTTTGCTCTGGAAGCAGGAGGGAACATACTCAGCTAGGAAATTCAAGTTAACCTAGGCTGGATGCACTCCCAAAACGTTTTCAGGAGGGAAACAATTTTTCTTCCAAAGCACTGTTACAGGCTTGAAATAAATGTGCAGACTGCTAGATAAAGACAGAGATAAAAATAGGCCTGTTATTAAATACCTCTTCTTTAATGAGGTTCATCCTTCTAAACAGTCACACAAAGGTTATTAACGTTATTGCAGAAAATACAGCTCCACTTGCACATAAAAGCCGTGGCAAGATATTCCTCATCACCCAGCACACATTTAAACATCTCCCAGGAGCTCGTGCTCTCACAGCATCTCTGGCTTGGCAGAAAGAAGATAAAAGAGAGGAATGAGAGATGTCTTCCCTGGGAAACAGTCTCTCTTCTTTCAAAGCACTTTTTCCCTTCCAAACAATGTAAATTTAACCATGTGAACGATTCCCACTGCTTATGTCTCCTGCTACACAGCTGATGTACTTATTCTCTTCGCTAATGCTACATTTACATTATAATAACACCAGGCAGAGCATCATTAAAGCAAAATTCAAATATATTTTGAAAAATGCTGCTTAACCTGCTCCTATTGCACCAAAAAAAACACCACTTGACTCAAACTCCTCCATCTCCTGGTGCGTAACCACTGCACTTAACCCGTAACACACTGCGGAGCCCAGAGCCATGCACACAGATAAGAGGAGTCACCATTTGTCTGGTGACTGTTACATACTTGTCTGGGTTGTGCCCAAAATCCAAGCCCAGGACTATGCATTAGTGAAGCTGCAAACTTTCATCTCAGCTGCTCAGAAGCATCATTTAGTATGTGGCTGTACATGTATCCCTGCAGCAGACTTTTATAACCAGCTTGTTTAATGAAACCAGTAACACCACAGCCAGTAAGGAACAGTATTCACCCCAACACACAAAAAACCCATCTCAGCCCCATGCTGCTCCTGAACCTGGGCAATCCATATAGGACATGTAGAGTTTTTTCTCACTGGCAGCCAGGATACTGGCAGTTCGTGAAATGACAGAAGACAGCACAAGGTTTATCTGCATTTTGGGGAAAAACAGACCATTTTGGGAAAAAGGGTCATTTCACAAACACTGAACCCGATACCCTCCATTGATGTGCTTGGAAAACAACGGCTGCAAAACCTCCCAGGTCATGGTGAAGCAGGCAGAAAACACAAGGAAACATTTTCACTCAGGTGCCAGGAATGATTTAGTACCAGGAACTATACAGCTCTGAGGTCTCACATTATTATAATTTTCCTATACATACTGCATTTACAACATGCCACAAAATATATAATCAAAACTGCATTACTGCACTTGTCAAATTAGATAAGCAGAGTGGGTTTTATGAAATGGAAGTCTAACTTATTTTAATGTACATGTCCATAAATTTCTGTTACTTGTTACAGCTTCCATGTGCTGGGCTGGACCTCCAGAGCATGAGCAGCAGTTGAGGGAGGGGATCCTGCCCCTCTGCTGTGCTCTGGGGAGAGTCCCCTTTCAGTCCTGATCCAGCTCTGGGGCAACAGCACAAGAGGGATGTGGGGCTGCTGGAGCTTTAACCTGCCAGAGGGGAGACTGAGATTAACCTGCTCTAGCGG